GCCAGGCTGGAGTGGCTTGCTCACTGCCCAAGAGTGCCTTATCTCCCCTGGGTGTGGGTGCAGTGCATGCTTTCTTTTTGCTCTTTGTGCACTTAGGTGGAGCAGGGTGGGAACTGGCCTTGGCTCCCATTATTCACTCAGAATCTCAGCTTTCCACGGAGGGGGCCAGTGAAGGACCCTCTCCCTCCAGCCCCATCCCCTGCCTCTCCTTGTCCCCACCTCATGCCTGGCTTCCCTCTCCTCTGAAGCCATCATGGTTGCTTCAGCATCCTCAAGACTTGGCATATACACTTCCCTCCCCCTGAAGAGCCACTCCCTGACCCTTTGGCCCAGTTCGCAGTTAAGTCCACCTCTCCATTCAAGACTCAACAGAGAACATGTGCCAGTCCAGGCTGCCCTGCCCACTCTGAGCTGATTATCAGCCTGCATCATAATTGGCTGCTTATGCGTCTGTTTCCACCAGGCTGTCAGCCTCCTGCATGGGTGAGCAATGCCCATCCCCAGTTGTTGGAAAGTGCCAGGCACGGTGCTGGAAGCTTCACACTCACATTCATAGTTTCAGCTAGTTAACATCCACCCACAATGTGTGGAGGTATCTGCAGATAGCCAAGATATCTGCAGGTTGCCCCTCAGAGGCTGAGTCACTTGCTCATGTGTCTGACCTTTACTCGTCACTGCCATTGCAGCTGCCAATGTGTGTCTGCACTAGAATTCTCATAGCTACCCAGGGCTCTACTTCAGAGACAACTGGGGCAAAAGGAAGTGCTCCAAAGGGGCACACTCTGAAGGGAAAGGGCATGATGCTGTGGCAAAATTGGGACAGGAAGCTGTTTCTGTTTCACAGACATCTGGCTGGGAGGAACTTTCTTGCTCAGTCTGGCCTTTCCCCCCTTACTCCTGCTCATCCTCTCAGGGTTGCCCTGCACCCCCTCGCCTCCCTCCCAGATGGCCCCCGGGGCCCCTTTCAGCAGCAGCAGTGGCTACCCTGCACTCCTCCCAGATACTTGCTGAGCAGCACTGTGAAGGGAGGGCCCACTGCCCATGTCGTGGAAGCAAAGCCCCAGGTTTGTAATCATTTCATCCATGCTGAGGTATTACCTTCACGTGATATGCAAACCTAAAATATGGCTCCGGGGCAGATGAGGACTGGTGTAAGAACATCCCTGGAATCTGTGGTTACTTGGCTCTTTCTGGGTTGGAGGCTCCAGAGAGATGAGACACACTCACCTAGGACCCTGCAAGTGGTAGGGTCAGAATGGGTCATCGTGGGGGCTGTGATGGTAGAAATATTTTATAAAAGTCCTCTTTAGAGAATTTCTCACTTTGAAGACCTTATGCTTATAGACATTATAAGCATATGCTTGAAGACATTGCAAATGAAAGAAATCAGTCACAAAAGACCACACATTATGTGATCCCAATCATATAAGAGGTCAGATAGGGAAATCTGTAGAGACAGAAAGTAGATCATTGGTTGCTTAGGGAGGGACAGGGAAGCTTTAGCTAATGGGATTGTGAAGTGATGAAACTGTTCTAAAATTGACTGTGGTGATGGTCACACATATCTGCGAATATACTAAAAACCATCGAATGATACACTTTCAGTGGGTCAGTCATGTGGTCTGTGAATTCCATCTCCATTAAAACTGTTTAAAAAGAGATAATGTCTCCCCACCAACTCACAATAAAACCCACTGCCATAGATAAACCATGCAGAGAAAAAAAGTCATCCTTATTTTGTAAAGAACTCCTTTGCAAGGTGATGCCCCCTGAGGTTGGGTGGGGTCCCAGGGGTCTGCCAGGGACTGAAGCTAGGGTTAAGCACAGGGTGGGCTTTGTTCCATGGAGAACTGTGGACAGGGTTCCTACTGTGGACTGCATGAAATTGTGTGTGTGTGTGTGTGTGTGTCTGTGTGTGTGTGTGTCTGTGTGTGTGTGTGTGTGTGTGTGTGTGTGTGTGTGAGAGAGAGAGAGAGAGAGAGAGAGAGAACGCATTTTCCAGGCAATTGGAACATACACTTCATCACACTGGGAAAAGCTCACATACCAAACAGATCAGTGTCTGGCCTAACCTTGAGACCCTCTGCCCGGCTGCTTGCAGCTCCAAGCTGCAGCCACATCTAGCAAAGAACAGCATGACTGTCGCCAGTCCTCAGCGCACTGACTTCACTCTGACTACCCTGTATTCTTCTTGCCCTAACCACTGACCATGATTCGCATCTCAAGCCACCTGGGGAAGAATGGAGCTGGGAAAGGGAACGATGCCTCTGCAGACCAGGACCTGGGGGCCACCGTCTCAGATTTTGCCATTTCCCGTGCCACTTGTCCATTCATTTACCTCGTGTGTACTTTACAATGAACGTTTTCCCCAAAATAACAACACTGCTACCATAAATGTAGAAACAGTGTCACTATCCAGTTCACCCTGGCCTGCTCATGACACTCTAAGAGAACTCCAGACATCTGGCTCCACTACCCTGAGGGCTTCTTGTGGCCGTCAGAAAAACCAAAGAGAGTAAAAGGGAGAATCCTTTCCTCGCTGTAGCATCCGGCCTTCCTCAATGCCATGTCCGTTGGTCATCCACAAGCACCTCCAACCTACCGGGTCCCTCTGGGAGTCCATGACCAAGTTCCTTCCCACTCATGTGCAACACAAGCCACTCCTCTGGGGTTTGGTTCTTAAATGGCTCTAATTTGGCCACATCTGGGAGTCTGAAGGCCAGTTAGCTAACTCAGACACTGATGCACGGCTAGCCAGGCCTTCCCTGTGTTGTCCACCAGGGAGGCAGCTGTGAGCAAGATGAGCCTCACACATCACCTTTCCTCATCACCAGGTTGGGAAAAATGCATTTTGTCACTAACCAAATACACTTGTGTTTGTGCTGAGAGCTACAGAGAAGAGCGTGGGGCTCCCTGAGAGCCGGTGAACAGGGACCAACTTGGAGTGATCCTCCTCTGGTGGTCACGAGGCGACCAGGCACAGGATGCTTAGGAGAGGGGTTCCCAGGCCTTTGCCTCCCTCTGTCTGCTGGACGTACCCAACGGACGCCTCTTTCTCCACGCCACACTCTTGCACCTCCTGAATCCAAGTCCTGCTCGTCCCCTCACGTGCGTGTGTCCCTTTGTCAGAGACCATTATGGAAAAGGTCAAGTAATCTGTTTGATAAACACAACTATGGACAAAATCTATGCATGCCTCTTATTCTGTGGTGGTCTGGGAATTTTTATTTAATCGATTTTCTCCAGTTTCTGTAAGGTGTACACTGCGTCCTACCAGCTCTGCCACACGCCTTCAGGCAAGCTAATATCCGTCAGCAGAGGAAGTGTTCTGGTCAGAGATGCCCAAATTTGATTCATGAGGCACAACTTGTTTTTGATAAATCCAGAAACTTCAGTGTATTTGGGTTTTCTACCCAAATGTGATTCTCTCCTGATGCTTCTTAGCCAAGAGGCTCAGAGAACACCTGTTAACACAGTGATAATTTCTTACTCAGTGGGTGGATAGAAGGTCAGGGACATGGAGTCAAGTTATTATGTGAGTCCACATCACAAAAGGCAGAGGACTGGGAGAGTCCCATCCTCAGCTCCCAGCTTCTCAGAAGATGGTGGCCACCTCTGCAGTATGTCAGAGACCTTTGACTGCAAAGCCGTTATGACATGCACCCAGACCGCTCTGAGCTCAGTCCTTATCTGGATGGGGACAGGTGGATGAGGCTGGGCTGATTTCCCATTGGGGTGAACAGGTACAAGGGAGAGGAGGAGAGATATACAGAAAACCCCAGCTAGGGTGTGTATGTACTTGACCACGGTGAGGAGCATCACTGCGCCACTGAGGGGTGTTACTGAGCCCTGCATCTGTCCTTATGCTCATCTTTTATTTTTTATTTTTATTTTTTGAGTTGGAATCTCACTCTGTTGCCCAGACTGGAGTACAGTGGCCGCTCCCGGCCACCGCAGCCTCGACCTGCTGGGCTCTGGCGATCCTTCCGCCTCAGCCTTCCAAGTAGCTGGAACTACAGGCGCGCGCTATCACGCCCGACTAATTTTTTGATTTATTGTAGAGATGAGGTCTCACCAAGTTGCCCAGGCGGGTCTCAAACCTGCGGGCTCAGGCAATCCACTCACCTCAGCCTCCCAAGGTGCGGGATTACAGGCTGAGCCACCGAGCCTGGCTATGCTCCTCTTTTAAAGCAGAAGGCTCATGGACCCTGGGGACATCAACTGGGGTGTCATGTCCATCCTCAGGCATCCAAGGAGATAGGGCCGACCTGTGTTATCTACCCTCAAACTCCAAGACCGGGCAGTTAGAGCACTTCCCACTTCCTGGACTTTGGGAGTCAAATTGGAAAGAAGGAAGGGAGGGAGAGAGGGAGGGAAGGAGGAAGGAAGGGAGGAGGGAAGGAAGAAAGGAAATATTAAGGACATAGTATGGCTAATTTGTTTGACCAAATAAAGACCCAAAGATTCTGCTGGTCACTACCATTGCATAAAAGAAAGAATATTTTACTATCAAAGCAAGCAGGAAGAATAGAATCTCAGAAGAAATGATGGCCCTTCTCATGACAATACTGGATGATATAAGTCCTTACTTGGAATGACAAGTTACTTCCATGTACTTCAGTTTCCTCATCTGATAAATGTGTCATTATCCTACTCATAGGGTTGTTGTGAGAATCAGCTGAGTTAATATTTGTAACGTGCTTGAGATAGTGCCTGGCATGTAAGTATAAGGGTTGGTTAAACTAAAAGATTAAAATTATATTTTAAAAATGACTAAAAGCAAGCCTGCAGGGAATTGGAAAGACGAAATTGGCAGTCTAGCCTAGGGCCTTGAGGGAGAAGGAGTCATTTTTTGGTGAGGAAGGTGCCTGCCAGGTTAGTTTTGCCTCCTTCCTGGGTTTCAGCACCCCAGGGCCCCAGTGTGGCTGCTGGTTCTCGGACCCTTCCAGGGCATGGGCTCTCTTCTGGCCCAACCCTCACCCTGCCTCCTCTCCCTGCAGGTCTTCGGGGGCCTGGTATGGATCCTGATCGCCTCGTCCCTGGTGCCCCTGCCCTTGGTCCAGGGCTGGGTGATGTTCGTGTCTGTGTTCTGCTTCGTGGCCACCACGACCCTGCTCAGCCTGTACATAATTGGCGCCCATGGTGGGGAGACTTCCTGGGTCACCCTGGTGAGTCCCAGCCCAGGGAATCCATGGGGGTGGGGAAGTACCAGACCCTCACTCCCGGGAGGCCGGCCGGCTTTTCCAGTACTGGGTGAGACTGCCCTGTGTTCTGAGGCCAAGCTGGCCCAGGGGGTGGAGATCAGGAGAGGTGGAGACAGAGGCTGCTGCTTCCGCTAATGACTCTCACCGGGCCTGTTCTGTGTTCTGCATGGCTGCCCCCCCACGGATAACCCGCTGCCCCTGTCCTCCACACACTCCGCCTGTACCTGCCAAATGCCGATTGGCACCTCCCATTGCCCAGGAGGGCTGTTTTCCTCTTGGAAGAGTGAGGTCCTGAAGGCTGACCAGAGTCAAGGGCTCTGGGCACTAGCCTTGGCTCCTGGTGTTCAGGCCATACTCGCCCGACTCCTCGCCACTGCCCGCCATGGCTGTCAGAGACGACTGGGGAACAAAACTGGCCTATGGCCGTTACGCTGTATCATTTCTGCTTTGAAGCCTGTGAAGGGGCAACATTTACACCTGGGACACTTGACTATTACCTGCTTTAGAGGTGTGGGGGCCACTTGGCCAGACCTTTCACTCTCAAAGGCCTCCTGCCCAGGCTTTTGAAATCACTTCCATATCTTAACTACACATTTTTGCATTTAAGTGTATCCAAAAAAAGACTGGGCTCTGTGGCTCATGCCTGTAATCCCAGGAGGCCCAGGAGAGAGGATTGCTTGAACTGAGGAGTTTGAGACCAGTCTAGGCAACATAGCAAGACCTCGTCTCTACAAAAAAATATAAAAATTAGCTGGGCATGGTGGCACATACCTGTAGTTCCAGCTACTTGTTAGGCTGAAACAGAAGGATCACCTGAGCCCAGCAAGTCGAGGCTGCCGTAGCCATGAGCATG